AAACAATATTTAAATATATAATTAACTTAGGCTCAATAGCAAGTAATGTGATAACAGAACGATAAAAAGTAATGCATAAATGGATTCCTATGTGGTGATACAATAGACCACAAGTTGTAATATCGTTTTTAATCGATTGTTACATTAAATACAAGCTTTTGTCAACTCACAAGTTGACCTCTTAATTCTGCAATAGTCTATAAGATATTTACACCGTCACACACAGGTAAGGGTTATATAAATTACTTTTTCATTAAAAAGTAACACTGAATTCAACACACCCATTTCAAATAAACAGGAGGTCAAATTAATAATCTAAATAATTATCATTATCTAACTATTTAATAGTTTCTTCAAATTGTTTAATATTAAATTAAGAATGCACAATGAGGTTGTGTAAGTATAAATAAGAAAAAGTGAACGTTTGATTGCAAAAACAGTTCATTCACCAAATTCAAATAATCCTACCTTTTGATACAATTTCTTAGCGTGCATACTGGTCACAGCTTTATTTTTCACTATATTTATTCATTGGATTTATTTAAAAATGTCTAATAATTTATGGCCTGAATGTATAGTTTCACTACGCGCACGCGTATTAGTAATACCAATGTAATATAATTTAAATGACATTTGCAATAAATAATATAAAATACAAAGATAAATTTCGCTTGTTAGTATAGCTCTCTCTGAAAACATGTCTGATACGTCATCCGTTGGTATTAATTAAATTATGATAGCTTCAATAGTTTCCGGATACACGACTGAGCAAGATCAGTTTTCATAGATAATAAATATACAAAGAGTATATAATCAGTACTGGTGTGAATACGAAAAACATATCAATGTTTGGCAAGGAGATGTCAATGAGACAAACGTCAGTCGTTCAGCAGCATAACCTCAATTTTTTGAATTTTAGATATTACAGACTTTTTATATTTGTTGTGTTGATTTCGTTGCTCGGCTACACATTTAGTTCGAATAACAACAGCAATGTTACTAACAAAAGCATATGTTTATTATATCGACATTTCATTCTAAAACGATTCATGGCCATGTTTTCGTTGTGGTTATTAATAAAATCGTGGCTACATTCCCTTTTTAAATGGTTTTTACGTACAACTACAAAGCTTTGTGAACTTCAAAGAATATGCTATGGTCACATGCGTGGTGCTGGAAGATTTATAAATACTGAACGGTCTTTAAATGCTTCGAAAAGTCCGACAATAAAAAAACTTGTTGCTCATTTAAATGAAGTAAGCGATAATCAACGCTTTCTTGGGGAGAATAAAGAAGAACTGATTAAGAAGTCTGTTAAGACAATTCTTTTAGTAAAGAAAATTACTAGAAAAATTCACCCCCAATTTGTTCAAAGCTTCTCAGAGTGTATTGATTATATATGGAGTTACAAGCAAATGTTAGCTGAAGTAGAAGTTTTGAGAAAAACGCCTTATGATGCAGACAATTTAGAACATGAACGAAGACTTGATGAACTGTGGCATCTTTTAATGCCAAATCAACCTCTTGAATGTAGAATTACTAAGCAATGGCAGGAAATTGGCTTCCAGGGTGATGATCCAAAAACTGATTTTAGAGGAATGGGACTGTTGGGTCTGGAAAATCTACTATACTTTTCAAGAGAGTACAATCAACATGCAAGGCATGTACTTTCTCATGCTCAGCATCCAACATTTGGTTATACCTTTGCAATAGTAGGTATAAATCTTACATCAATGGCATTGCAGCTGTGTAGAGATGGTGATGCAAGAACATATTTTTATAATAAAAACGTTCCTAGCATTGTTCAATTTCACAAATTTTATTGTTACTTGTTTTATGAATTTGATAGGTTTTGGATTGAGTGCAAACCTAAGAATATTATGGAATTTTCATCTATAAGAGATAAGTTTGAATTTAATATCAGAAAAGCACTTGAAGACCACTCTGCTGCATTCAAATTGAATGTTACTATTGACAATGTTTAATTATGATAATTGGTATTATTATTTTTCAGGTATAGTGTGTAATAGTTTTTTGAGTTTAAGAAAATATTTTATACTTAAATTTGTAGTTATACGTTATCTCCCTCATACATACACTAAAATGTGTATTATATATTTTTTATTACATGTACTGCCTTTTGTTTTAATTAATAAGTAATATTTCAATGTTTGTCAAATAAGTACAAGAAATAAAACTTACTACTTAAATACATTTTTCCTCTAAATTTAAATAGAAAAAGATTTTCCAAGTATAAAGAATAACATCCTTTTTGCGAATATTATATGCATTAATAATCGCATTAATGGAAGACTAATGATAAAACAAATACAAGTTTTGTTCTACTCTTACAGCATAATACAAAAACATTATTCTAACGTTACATAATGGTCCGCCCCTTAACTCTTTTTCAATTTCATCGACATTAAGAACTGAATAGCACGATTTTATTCATTTATCTGTACGTACGCGATGAATGAAATAGCACTATCTCTCTTCAAAACTTTCCGTATTAAGCAAACTAACATTAAAGCTGAATTAGAAAATTTAGGAAATTTATCAGATAAAATAAGTTTCTTTCTATAGATACAATAACATGTATTTGAAAAGTTTTTCTGCTTTTCATTTTTTTTTTACTCTTCTTTGTGCGGCGATATGCTTAGTCCAGTTGAATATGTCTATAGTAAATTAGTTTATTAACAGTGGATCAGAAAGCGCCACCTTCCAAAGTTCACTATGAGAAGGCGGAGTTTTATGCAATAAGAGAAATAAAGGCATAATTAAAATAATAAAAAAAAACATTTAATCGTCCCTAATACCGCTAATTTTCCTAATAATTACCTGAAATAGCTTTTTATAACATTACTAATAACCGTGTTATTAATCAGTTATTTTATATGACGTTGAAAGAATTGACCTTGTCAGAGGTTATTAAGAAGAAAAATAAGAATTTGTTTTCTAAGAAAAGGTTAATTGTTCCGTTTAAGTGAAACTATTAAATTGATTAAATGTAATTTTATTTATCTACACTTTTACGAATTAATAAAAATGTTCTCCTTACTTGTAAAGTATGCCTTTAAGAAAGGAATTTTATATAACCCCAGATGCGGACTCTCGACCACTAAAGCACTTTTAGAAGAAGTAAGAATCAATGCAACTCATAGAGTAAACAATTTTGAAAAGAGATGTTTAGTTTGGACTGGGAAATATAAAACCATCGAAGAAGTGCCTGGTTTAGTTCCGTACGTAACACTGTTTGTTGCACATATTATAATAAGCATATAAATACCTTGTAGTTGTTAATTTCTTTTCGAAAAACATTTTGGAAAGAAAACGATCATTCGCAGTACTCGCATATGTGTTACGCTGGTTTTGTGCTTACAGACAAGATGTTATGGAAAAGGCAAGGAACAGAATACGTATTCGATTGGCAAATATTATGATGATCTTAACAGCACTTGGATGTTTTTTCATTGTTAAAAGTGGTAAGAAATTAAGGGATGAAGGTGATTCTTTGTCAAAACGTAGTATGGACTGGCATCAATCCTTAAAAGATGAGGCTGCTAAGGAAGCTAAATAAAAGCATAGTAAGTGATATTGAATATACAAATATACTCCACTGTAAATAAATGCTGATTAATTTTCTCCAAAAAATATAATTATAAATGTAGTGTAATACGATTTACAACTCTACGTAACTTAATCTCTATCTCAAAAATCTCGTAACTATTTACTCAGTCTATGTATAACATTTTATGTATTTACAATGCAATTATTTAAAGTCCGGACCGGTGTATTGATTTTTGACCTAAACTTCAGATCCCTTGATTCGAACTGCTAATATAATATCTGAATGCGCTTTTGGGCGTCTGACGACAAAAAAAAAACGAAATAACAATGGACGGAGGCCTCTTGAAAATGTTAGATTAGCCTTCTCTTTTAACCTTCCGACATGGAAGATAAGCTACTACGTGTGGACCCGAGTCCGATCCGAGGATCGTGACTAAGTTCAGGAAGATCTGCGGGCAATGTGCAGCCTATTGGCCCGTAAATTCTCACTTGTTCCTCCAGTTGTTGTAGGAATGCTTCTTCCAATTTCTGAAATGTCGATTACAAAAATGATTTAAATATACAATTATAATTAGAAGCATTTGAGATGTGTTTTTATAGCGTTATAGGCGAATAGAGAAAATACCATTGATTGAAAAAGTTATAAATAGGGAAGTATTGAAAAAAAAATATAGGAGAATAGAGTGGAAGTCAATATGGAGAAGGATAGATCCGAAGGGTTAGTTGGATACATATTAGAAGTACAAAAAAAGTAGAGGGGCAGAGGAATACCTAAATTAGATTTCATTTGCAAATAGTTAGGGATGTGAGGTGTTCAGGATACGAAGGAGTGAGGGTGTGTCTGACCAATCTTTGGGCCGACTACTTCGGGATTAATGAACATGTCCAATAGATCAATTTGGGCGAGTGATTTTTAAAATTATAATTTACACACCTGTTCAGTTTGAAGAAGAGTGGAACAAGACTAATCGGAAATTCTTAACGACGAATTTAAGAACATATATACGTACAATATTCACACAAAATTAATGGGGTTCACACTAAAGTACGCCTTTGCTTACAACATGGAGAAATGCAACAAAATACAAAGACAATTACAAGACACTGCCAAGACACTTTTATACGTCATAAAAATTCAATTTGTTAATGTTCAAAACATAGAATCAACTATGAAGAACATGTAAAGGACAACCTAACCACGAAGAAAACGAATACAAAGGATAAAATGAAAGCAACCTAAAAGGCAACAGAAAAAAACAACTTTGAGCAACATTGATTTAGACGTTAGAATCCGGATTAGTCTCCACGGCTCGTTTTAGCGAAATACTTTTCCTATTTGCGAGATTTTCGGAGCTACGAGACCTCGTGGTAATACCAGGACGTTTAGAATGCAATTGGCCATCCACAGTAACAGGCCGATTTCCACGAATCGANATGGACCAAATAAAAATTTATTTACAAATCTATTTTGTCCCTATATATGTTTTTAGTTTTTATAAAAATTAACATTAACATATAGTGACAACAAATCAGACTTTTTTGAGCCTAAATGAGTTCTACTTAATTCTATTAGGTACTATGGCAGGGAAATGCCAGATAAGTATTTTCTGCATCTTTCATTGAACACTTTTGTGGTTCTTTCTTTAATTAATTCCTCAGCGCCCAATTCTACTCGAAGCATTTTAAGCTATAAAGGAAATATCTTCTTCAAATGAATGAACAAATACCAAAATATACCTATATGTATAGTATCACCTTTGTTTGTTCTGCTTTTAATTGTTTTAATAACTGCAAATTATTACTGTCATTTTCTCTACTGGCCTTCAATTTCCTTACATCATTTGTTGTTACAGTAATACAATGCTTTAATGCGTCTTCACGTTTAGTATAAGAATCGTCTAATTGCTTTTTTAGATCCAAACATGCTGCTTTCCCATCAGGGTGAAATGAATCGGTAGGTATTACAGTATTAAGAGTGTTAATTATAAGATCATCCATTCTACGCATATTTTTTAACATCTCCTAAAGTTAAAAAAGAAGGTAAATTATCAGTTATAATTAAGTACGGTAAGTTTTTAAAAAAGATAACCAAAAAATAAATTTTGGAAATTAATTTCTCACTTTTTCCTTTAATAATTCATTTATTCATAAATATTACCTCAAATAAACTAAAATCAGCACATTGTAAAGTGTTTTCCATTTTAAAAAGGTATAATTAAAAACTTTAAAATTATTTACTAAGTTTTAGGTTAAATAAGGTTAGGTACCACATGTAATATCTATGTACATTTATTTGTGGTAATAGTCTATGACGCACATGTATCCCAAAATCATAGCCCATAGTTGTTCAGTTTCTTATCTTCCAATATAAATAATCCATTGATTCAAACTTTACGAATAAATTGTACGTCGTTTGCGGGTTCTAGATATTAACCTATATTATTAAATTATTAAATTATCATACCCGCAATAGTTTTTGAATAAATTGACATTTAATTTCTACCTGCACTCGAAACAATTTTTCTTTTTTTTAACAGAACTAATGGGCGTACAATTATGATACTTATATATTTAGAACCCGCAAACAACGCACAATTTATTAATAAAGTTTGAATTAGTGGATTATTAATATCGGATGCCATATTAACACGACTTTTACCCTTTGTATATCTATTATCTGTGACTTAACCTTAGCTATATGACAAACTCAAATTCTAACCTATCATCTCTTGTTTGTTGGGGTGTTTGTGAAAGTAATTTGTAAGATGAATGTAGAAATTAGAGAAATTGACTGTATAAAGGTAGTTGTTATTTAATATTATGTTTAAACGTTCAATTTGAAAAACTTCTTTTGCAGGGTAAAGGTTTATTTGCAAAAAAGTTTTTACCAACTGGCAGTGTAATTTTGGAAGAGGAGCCTCTTGTTTGTTGTCAGTTCTCTTGGAATGCAGCATGTAACTATAAGGCATGTGATCACTGTTTAAGGTACTTATTTGAGTGGGGGGTATTGTAAATTATTACCAATATTTTAATAGTTTTGATTAAATTTTAATAGGCCCCTTGAATCTGCTCAAGAAAATGCCCGCAGATTAGCAGGAAATTATAATCTGGTTCTTCCACATCCTGAATGTTGTACTACTAATAAAACTGCAATATGTGAATGTGCCTCTTGTGGAACCGAGTATTGTAGTCAAGATTGTTTAGTAACTGCATTTAACCAATATCACAGAACTTTATGTCTTCAAACTAAAGAAAGGAATGGTTTTCATCCCTTAGAAACACTTAATGAAGCCTGGAAGTATGCTCTTTACCTCTCTAAATAATTAAAAACTTTTGTTACTGTTGTATATAAAAAATAAGACATACAGTGCATAATGTACTATTATTTTAAGACAAATTCATCATCCTCCAGAAACCAGCACAATTATGATACTTCCTAGATTAATAGCAACCATAGAGCAAGCTGAGAACCCTGATGAAATGTTGAAAAGAATTTTGAATTTCACTCATCGTACTAGAAATGAAGATTTAGAGTTGGTCCATAAAATAATGGGAGACAAATATGTAGATAGTTTAAACACCTTGTACAATCTTCTTTTAGCAGCTGTTCCTCATGATGTTGTTGGTCCTTTATTAACTCTAGAAGGCTTTTATAGTATGCTGGCACTGTTAGGTAATTCATTTTTAATTGTTTTGTCTATTTAATGCTTGATGGTCGCAATAATTTGTGTAAAGATAATTAGAGTATGTTAAAAAACGCAACTTTTCTTTTAATTCTAACATGCTTGTCTTCACAGGATAGAGATTTATTTTCTTTTCTTATATTTGTTTCATAAAAAAGTTTTTAATAGGTACTAATGGACAAGGAGTAGGAACCAGCCCTATTAGTCAATGGGTCACCAAGGCATCCGAGTTACCACTTTCAAAGGGTGAAAAGAAACGGCTTGATCAATTTATTGACAAACTTTATGAAGATATGGACAAACACTCTGGTAACTTTCTGAATAACGAAGGCGTGGCCCTATTTTCCATGCAAAGCTCTGCAAATCATAGTTGTGATCCTAATGCTGAACCAAATTATCTTCACAATAACAGTAGGTTGTCTCTAGTTGCGCTTAAAGACATTCAGGAAGGAGATGAAATTTGCATTAGTTACTTGGACGAATGTAACCTGAGCAGATCTAGGCATTCCAGGCACAAAATGTTGAAAGAAAATTACCTGTTTGTATGTTGTTGTCCCAAATGCAAAGAACAAGTTGAAGATCCAGACGTTACAAGTTCAGAAGAAGAAGAAGAAGATCATGATGATGATGACGATGGTGAAGACATGAGCGAGTAACGTTAATTTCGTTTTTATTGAAGTGAATACTTCTTATGTAACGGCATATAAGTTCTATTATTAAGAAAAAACTTCAAATTTTCTTTACCTGTAAGCCGGGAGGGGTGCAGTTGTCCATTTACCATCTTCATTACGCCCTTATGTATCTAGCAGCGAAACGTGTTGCCTCGCTCTTCATTCAACTAATTTGGTAAAGAAGTATTCATTTTAGCCTTGTGGAAGAAAACACACTTTTTTGTATTCAAATGGTTCTTGACAATTAGCAAAAGCAATAAACAAAGAATTATCGTTATTGACACTATTTATTCAAACCCAATCCTTGCCAGCGGTATATTTAAATGCTTGCTTCGTTTGTGTTCTGTTATAATAATTTTTTGCACGAATTGGTATTTGCGAAAGCTTAAAGACCACTGTCAATACAAAAGTTTGAACAATTAGTTTTCGTTTGTAAATAAAAAAATGTTAATTAAATAAATTTAAAGATAACTAATTAAGACAAATAAATAAATAAATTCAAGAAATCTATTGCTACACAGTAAATAGTACAGTTTTATTTTGGACCATAATCTTTTCAGTTTCAGTTTTTTTTTTTAAACTGTAGATGTGTATTTATTTAACGACGTACAAATATATACATGAAAGTTAAAAAGAATTTTACATAATGAAGGTACAATTAGAGGTTCAACCAAAATCAAAGAAAGTTCTGCTAGTACGTATTGGTCATTCATAAAAAAAGGATATCATCCTTTGAAAATATTAGTAATTAAAACGGAAATGTAATTTCAGCCTGTTATTTTCTTTTTGACTGAAATTGGTGAAAAACATTAAATTTAAATATGTTGTTTAAGAATAAGGATTTGATTCCAAAAGGAAATGAATTTCAATCATCAGCAACTTTAAAGAAATTCTTTTGGAATAATTTTGAAAATAAATTTGTAAACGTGATCAATTTATTAATATCTATTGTACGTCATGTTAAGGGATGGTAGAAGAAAGAAATATTAAATTCTGATAATATACTGACTGCATTTATTCACAAAAAGTTTAATTAAATCAAATTTTCTTAAAAAAAAGGTACACTCCACTAGCATAATTGTTAAATTATTGATTTTTCACTGAATGATTTATGTATAAAAGAGTAACTTAACTATTTTAAGAATTACAATAGAATAGGTAGTTATTTACAGTTAATTTTAGAATCTTTAATAAAAAAATAACAGTATTGTATAACAAATACAATAAGTAAATAAAAAAATAAGGAAAAATATAAATAAATTAGAATTTATGAATTAAATTGAAACATAATGTTACAAATGTATCATACAAACAAAATTTTCTGGTAATTGTTAGGTATTTTCTAGGAATTATTTATATGTTAACTTTGTACCATGGTAGGAGTCAAATTAATTAACTGATTACTATTTTCTGCCAACTCAGCTATGGAAACTCTTCCACGTTGTTTGATAAATTTAGCAACTGCATCCATTTCTTGTGGAGAAACATAAATGAATTTTCCTCTATCATCAATGACACCTGTTAAGATTTCATCCTTGAGCAAATCTTGTATTCTATCAATTGCAGCCTGAGTTTTTAACTTAAAATGAGCAGCAAGGTCCTCAATAACCACTACTTTATTATTTTTAATATAATTGACAAATTCTTGTAGAAGATTTTGATGACCTTCTTCATCTCCTTCTTCATATCCTTCCTCTTCTATGCTAAATGCTTCCTTCATTTTTAAGTATTCTTCATATTCTCTCCTCTCTTTTTCTTCTTTTTCTTTACGTTCTGCCTCCTCTCTTGCTTTTTCTTCTGCTCTTTCCTTTTCTTCTTGCTTTCTTCTTTCATTTTCAGCTTGTTGTTCCTTTTTCTTTCGTTCCTGTCTCTGTTGTTCTTCAGCTTCTCGTTGAGCTTTCTTCTCTGCTTTAGCTTCTAATTTTGCCCTCTTTTTGGCACCAATTTTCTCTCCAGGAAGTTCGATATCTGCTTGTGTTTCACTGTTGTCAACATTTTCACCATCTGAATCACCTTCACTCTGTTCTCTTACTCGAGCTAAAATTGAGAATATTCATAGTCTATCAGTGAAAAAATTGATACTTACCGGTTGCTCTTAGTCTAGCACCACGATTTCTGGCAAGCTGAGCTCGTCGCTGAGCCCCATCTCTCTGTCGTGCTGCAGCACGATTTTCAAGATCTTTCACTATCAAATAAAAATATTTAAAAATGTTTACTTTAACATATGGTTAATACATACATTTTGGGGTTCTTGATTGGAAGAAAAGACTTATGCTTAGCAATATTAGTAATGTTACTGATGCCAAAGCTATAAGCAACGTAATATCCATTTTAGAGTATTATTTAATATTTCTTTTGGTATCTATTAATTATACGGATATTAGTTTCTTTTGTCATGTTACGTATTTTTTATATATTATCATATAACATTCATTGCATCTATTGACTATGATCCATTGATACATAACATAGATATACAGTAACACAGGTAGATAGGTATGATGTAAGAAGTAAGTAACCAGAAAAGTTCCATAAAAGAATCCATGCATTGTCTATCATAGATATTTGTATGGAGTCTGTCTGTGGTATGAAACATCTATGAATTATGAAACCATAAAGAAATATTAGAGTTAGAGAAGTTAGCAGCCATAGATAATAGATATACAAAGGGTAAATATTTGTTAGCAGCAAACAAATATTTTTGATATTCTGAATGTATTTTGCTTTATTGTTTTATAGTTATATCTTTTAAGATATTTGATGTACACATACCTTCTTTTTTTCACCTTTTCACAAAAGGCTTGTGGAATGAAGTAAAAGATTAGTTTTTATATTTTACAAAAAAAAAAGCAACACATGCATTTAAATGAAAATTGAAAATTATTAGAATATTAGAAAATGAATACTAAATCCGTTAAGTTTTATAACATCAACTATTTTAACTTCATTCTAGAAACTTATATATTTTGAATATTTTTGTTTTTATTCTTTTAACGCACCCTGTAGATATTCGAATGAACTTGGAGTTGGGATGGCGGCCATTAGTAGAAATAGTTGGAAAACGTTTATTTAACGATTTTTAAAATTTCTAGGCAGATTTTACAAAAGTGGAACATTTGTGATTTTTGTGCAATTTCTGATGAAAATGATGACGGCGTTTCAACAAGCAGCGTACGCAGCAAATGGTACATCTAACAATGGAGACGTGAGTATACATGAAGCGCACTTATTGATTTTTCAGTTTCACTTAATTCTTTTTTAAGAGACGAAAATGGAAGTTGATTCTTTGAAATATCTTTTAGGCAGACACAACAAACGAACAACAGGAGCAAACCTCAAACGAAACAACGGAGCCTGAGCCTCCAGTACCTGGAACAGAAGAACCTCAAATTAAACGAGGCCTGACGATGGGTAAGTGGTAGCATGTAGAGGATTTTTAGAAGTTCAAAAAAAAAAACAATTTAAGTACGGGAACCCTTGACTAATCTGCGATATTTCGGTCTGCTTGAGCTGTTCCAGAAATGAGATCGACTGGCATGTACCGCTATGGAGTCACACTAGCCAGATATAGCTGTAACCGTTGCCTCGCGGTTACATGGTAGGAAGTAAAAATCACTGTACTAACATTTTTGTGAGCCTGAGGGTGGGACGAAATAGTTTAATTATCTAAAATTGTATTTTACTTGTATAGTGAGGTTATGTGCAAGTGTGAATTTAGGATGTAAAAACAACAGGTATTCATATAGAAAGACAAAACTGTATTATAATATGGTTTAATGCATAATAAGGTAGTTCACAAGCAATAGTGATTACTTTATTTAATGTAAAAATATTGGATATGCTTTAACGAGGGCCAATAAACTTCATTAGGTATTTAGTAAAAAATCAGGTAAATGTACAAGTCCTTGAGCTCTCAGGTTTCATAAATTTGTTTTATTTGCAAACTGTTTAAGTCCGAATTAAATTTGGAGGTGTTTAGACAAAGCTATTTTTAATTTTGTGTTTACAGATCGAATTGTTGCGACAATCTTTTAGATCCCAGCATTCGCCGAAGCGTTGGCGCAGTCCATTGGAACAACCATCCAATTTCCTTTTCCATTCACTCTTTTAATACCAATTCAATTATTTCAAAAAACAACACATGAAAAATATATAAATATGAAACCTTTCTTATGAGATTCGCTATCAGCGAAGTACATACTGATTGTCTGCGTTTATGTAACATAATTTAATTTTGTTTTAATATATATATATATATTAATAATTATATAAATAACAAAAGGTCAGGTTAGTCTAGTAATGGACAAGACTATCTTATCTATTCATGGTGGACTCGAATTTCGAATTATATCCCCGTAAAACATCTTACGGGTTTTGGGCCGGTATAATATTCATGTCCTTTTTTGTTAGAAAAAACATATTTGCTTAATTCCTGAATGATTTTTTAGAGGGCAAAAAAGTGAAACAATTAAGTTTTTTGCACATTTTTTACAGTTTTGATAAAAGCTTAGCATGTCGAAACATGAAAAGATAAATAAATTTCTTATGAAATAAATAAAAACCTGTTATTTATATAATTATTCTAAAATGTTTCAATTTATTACATCGGTCAGTATAATATTTTCTTTACCTTAAGAACAATGCAGGGACTGCTTTAACGAAAAACAAATGATCTATTTAAATAACTAAAAATATAATCTGAAAATTCGCCAATTTTTTGTGTAATTAATTCTGTTTCCAAAATCGCTTTTGGAAAGTACAAAAGATGATATCTTATGATACCGAAAAGTTATAGAATTCATTTTTTTTTTATAAATATCAACTTTTACACTACTGAAAGTTTGATTGCAGATGTATCATCCGCTGCTGATAACAGATTGCTGAATATTGATTAAAAAAAGTCATTAAGTTGGGCCATGAAATTAGTTTATTGGTAAACACTTTACTAGTTGTCATTTTTTCTTAAAGTTTGCTCCAAACAAACTAACGGTGATTGTTTCTTTAAGTAAAATTATGTATCTTTACAATAGAATAATTTTGATTTTAAGTTAATTGAACTTAAAGTTTTTAATTAGTTTTTATGATAAACATCCTGTTTCTTTAAAGAACTTCGATAATAAATATAACTAAATATTTTGTATCTTGCAGATATTTTAAATTTTCGAGTAGTATTTTCATTGTGAAATAACATTTATATTCAGTAAATGTCTAATTTCCATATTAATTAGTTATTATATTTTTTTATAAAATTATGTTGTAACATGTTGGAATTAATTTTCATGGGCACAACTGTTGTATTTATGGTTTGTACGTATATTGGGCGTTTTTCTAGTACGATTTTTTTCGTCCCGGCCTGTGCTACAGCAAGGGTGCGACGTCAAAATTGCTATACTAAAAACGCTGATTTCGTTTAACTTTTTTACCTTTTGTTATAGATGCGTTTCAAAATGTGGAATATATTTCTGATTTGTATCAAACAGGGGAAGTTATGGCAGGTTAGTTTGTTATACCTTCATATTTTTGCAGTTATTGTTTTATGACCGTTTGTTTTTCATTTGATTAGGCCCTGGAGCGAGAAGCAATACGATAGCGGGTATACTGGGAGGTACGTTACCGAAACTGTCTTCCGAACAAATGGACTCGGTTAGCAGAGCGAAAAAATACGCAATGGAACAGAGCATTAAAATGGTCCTTATGAAGCAGACTTTAGCACATCAACAGCAGGTATAAACTCGTTTTTTTTTTTTTGAAAATTTTCTTATTAAACTTTTTGAAGACATTAATTTTTTAGGGGACTATCTTTTTTTACAGGATAAGTGTGATAATCCTTTGTTGTTGCATTGTTACACTCTACCACTAAACTGTTGATATGTTACATTCAACGTTTACTTTATACTTTCACATGCACTCCCCTTTGACATAGTATACTTATACATAGAAACTTCTACGTTTGTTTTTCCGCAAACAGAAAATCAAAATGCACTTTTTAATTTTTCCCAGTAGTAAATTAGGCCCCATTGATGGTGTCTTATAATTTTTTAATTTCTTCATTTTCTATTTCCTTTTTAAAAAAGTGTGTAAATGTTTCGTGGACTTGATAAGTATAACAAATACCTCACTTATCGTTTATTTCTGAAAGGAGATACGTGTTGCTGTAAATGTGTGTATTAATAATAATTCATGTAATAATGTTGCTATTATCCACAGAAAAATAAGACGTTCCAACGGCATCAGGTTTTAGTTTTAATGTGCAGGTTAGTGGTGCGTATTTTCATTAATACAGAGCGCCCTAACTTGGGGGCGAGAGCTCGCCCCCCCTTCGTTCTTCCCTCTCCCCCAAAACACAAAAACCAAAAAATTTTCGTCGTTATTAAGTTGTGACATATGGCACTTGTCCTCTGTTGCAGCAAATGGCTAGTCAGAGGACGCAGGTCCAGAGGCAACAGGCTCTCGCCCTCATGTGCAGGTCAGCGCATTTTTATCCAAACCTTTCGCTATTTTCCTGTTGCATACGCGAATATCGTTTTGTTGATTATGATTAACTTCTGTTTTTTATTTTTTTGTCTACCGCATTCTTTTTTATTTACTAACGATGCTCTTTTTTAAACTTTTTTTGTTTAATTATGTTTTTTTTTGTGTATGCAACAGAAAAATAGTTTTTAGTTTTTAATGTTTTAATTTTTATCACCTTAAATGCTGTTTTCAATTTTAATTTAATGGAAGGTACTTTGTGTGTCAATTTCAACTTTCAATTTCCATGAAGTACTTTTATGTGAATATTTTCTTGTGTCTTTTTGATGAAATTTATAAGTGATGATATCAAAAATTTAGTGAAGTTGTTGAGTCACTTTAACGAATTCCGACTAATGATGCATTAGCTGATAAGATCTGAATTTATATTTTTATAATTTTGTAACTTAGGTAATTAATATATATTCATCGTTTCGATTATTCTACAAACACATGTGTATGCATATTTAGGGTGTATGTGGGCAGCATCAGCTTTGAACTAAAAGAGGACACGATAAGACAGGCGTTCCTGCCGTTCGGCCCGATCAAATCCATCAACATGAGTTGGGATCCTGTCACACAGAAGCATAAGGGCTTTGCTTTTGTGGAGTACGAGATTCCGGAGGCGGCACAGTTAGCTCTTGAACAAATGAACGGTGTCATGATTGGCGGTCGGAACATCAAGGTCGTCGGTCGGCCGAGCAACATGCCGCAGGCGCAGTCGGTCATTGATGAGATTATGGAAGAGGCGAAGAACTATAACAGGATCTACGTCGCTTCCATACATCCCGACCTCACTGAAGATGACATTAAAAGGTAAAAATGCAACTAAGTTACGTATAATGCGAGTTTGACTTGCCATGTCTCGCATACATTTAAAAGTTTCTAGAGGTACAAGTAATTAAGATGCCTAGTTTTATTTTATCCCGCTTGTAAAATTTATTATATCTTAGATGTGTATGTAAGTAATTTGTTTTTTTTTCAGCGTTTTTGAAGCGTTCGGTCCAATAATTTATTGCAAGTTGGCTCAGGGCAGTTCGGCACATAGACACAAAGGTTATGGTTTCATCGAATATCAATCAGCTCAAGCAGCGAACGAGGCAATAGCGAGTATGAACTTGTTCGACTTGGGTGGGCAATTTTTGCGCGTCGGTCGGGCTATCACGCCTCCCAACGCCCTTATGGGACCGTCGTCGGGATCGAGCGTGATGCCGACCGCGGCCGCGGTGGCAGCCGCGGCCGCCACCGCCAAAATCCAGGCGATGGACGCGGTCGCGAGTAACGCAGTCGCCCTCGGTCTTTCTAAGCTCAACCAGACGACTTCGATTCCAGTTTTGACTCCGCCAACTATCCCGATCGTCACCCCCACGATACCCGTTGTACAACCGACGCTTGCCGCTCCGACCGTAATACCGACCGCTGTGCCGGCAGGCGTGCTGCCGCCCCCCGGTCTGGCCATTCCGCAATTGCCACCTGCGCAAACTGTTGCGCAGGTGCCGATCGTCGCGCCAATCATAACTACCGTACCGACGATCGCGCCGCCTTCAGTCGTGATTAAACCCCCCGTTTCTACGACCGGACAACAGCAACAAGAGGCAATGAAGAAAGCCCAAGAGGCGCAGCTTAAGCAACAAGAAGAGCTACAGAAGAAGCTCCTCGATCAGAACGAACCTCAAACATTGCAACAGCAGGAGAACATGTCGATTAAGGGTCAGAATGCGCGGCATCTGGTTATGCAGAAGTTGATGCGTAAGGTGGACTCTAGGGTCGTCATATTGAGGAATATGGTCGGGCCGGAGGACGTGGACGAAACGTTACAGGACGAAATACAAGAGGAGTGTTCCAAATTCGGGATTGTCGAACGGGTTATCATTTACAACGAGAAACAGTCCGAGGACGATAACACCGACATCATAGTGAAAATCTTCGTAGAGTTTTCGCAAACCGGTGGTAAGTGTATCAATTTCATTTTTATCTGGTACTCTGCAAAATTATTAATATAAATACAAACTAAGTAAACAGTTTTGAAGGATTTATTCCTCTATTATTTTTGAAAAATATTGTTTCAGAAGCTGAAAAAGCCAGAGATGCCTTAAATGGGAGATATTTCGGTGGGAGGATGGTACAGGCAGCACTTTATGACCAAACCTTATTCGATCATAGTGATCTTTCAGGTTAGACTAATTATCTAATATATTTATTTGAATTGCAAAACTTTATTGAATATAAACGGAAGTAAAAAGACATTGAAACCGCCGATTTTTAATTAAGTTCAAATTGTATTAATAATTTCGTAAGTTGTATAATAGACATAATATTAATTTTCTATAATGTAATGTTGATTGTAATATATGTGATTTTTGACTAAAAAGCTCAACCGTCTGACCCCACAATTTATTTCTTTTTGAATATTGATAAAACCAGATAACTGATCATGTTTTAATTTTTTCGATTGTTTAAATCAAATATTTATTCAATGGGAATTAATGAAGTTTTTTTTTAGTATCGATTAATTATTCATATCAACTATAAATAACTGAAGAAGATATAAAACACTCTTACATTTATAAAGAGAATATAAAAGACAACCTTTACTTTTATAAAATGTATTTGAAATAATTATCAGCAATATATAACAGAAAAATATAATACATGACTTTACACAATCGGTCTAGTAAAAATAATGGTAATGCAGCAGCACAAAAGAGATTTGATTTATTATTGTTTCTTTGCTAATCATACATATAATTTTTGATGCAAGTTTTACAAACAAAATTAAACCATTAGGAATAATCATAATATTGATTTTAGAGTTATTTGCTGCTGCTAGAGAAAATCGTGTTAATAATTAAACGTAATATCAAAAAATTTAAGAATTTACATCAACCAATTACAATATTTCCTTTCGAAACAGAAATTTTGTTTATTCACTTAAACGTCGAATTCTTAAAAGAAAATGAAATAAACATAAGGCAAAACACGATTGGAATAATTATATTACATAATTTTAGTAAATCATACGTAATAAGTAGTAGTACATCACATTTTGTTATCTTCAAAACAAAAATATCTATATTCGACAAACACGTTAAAAAATAAACATTATGTATCCCCCAAACAATCTAATTTTTATTTTTGCATCAAAAAAAGTCAACGTATAAAAAGTAGTCAAATTTCACTGGTAACAACAAAATCGATTATTAATTTCGTGATAACGAGTTTTTACTTCAACTAAAGCAGAATGATGGCAACATACATTAAATTGATTAGGCCAAAATTTTAAATGTGTACTGAAAATTGCCTAATTAAATTAAGGCAATGTTTTCGAGAAGTTGTGAATTCTTATGTTTATTTTTTCGTTTTAAATAAAATTTACTTTTTCTGTTTTGAATACTAGCGATGAGAAGAAAATACTTTTTTAATGCTTACTGCAGGCACTTAATTTTTGTAAGCTTTTTTGCGAAATAATGGAAAAATATACACTCTTTTCTTCTTTTTCTACATGTATCGAAATATACAAAACGAAATACATTTTTTATGCCGGTTGAGAACCCGTCTCACTTTTCGTACTTGCGCGTTAAGAACAACTTTAACAACGTTAAATGTAGTGTAATACGATTTACAACTCTACGTAACTTAATCTCTATCTCAAAAATCTCGTAACTATTTACTCAGTCTATGTATAACATTTTATGTATTTACAATGCAATTATTTAAAGTCCGGACCGGTGTATTGATTTTTGACCTAAACTTCAGATCCCTTGATTCGAACTGCTAATATAATATCTGAATGCGCTTTTGGGCGTCTGACGACAAAAAAAAAAACGAAATAACAATGGACGGAGGCCTCTTGAAAATGTTAGATTAGCCTTCTCTTTTAACCTTCCGACATGGAAGATAAGCTACTACGTGTGGACCCGAGTCCGATCCGAGGATCGTGACTAAGTTCAGGAAGATCTGCGGGCAATGTGCAGCCTATTGGCCCGTAAATTCTCACTTGTTCCTCCAGTTGTTGTAGGAATGCTTCTTCCAATTTCTGAAATGTCGATTACAAAAATGATTTAAATATACAATTATAATTAGAAGCATTTGAGATGTGTTTTTATAGCGTTATAGGCGAATAGAGAAAATACCATTGATTGAAAAAGTTATAAATAGGGAAGTATTGAAAAAAAAATATAGGAGAATAGAGTGGAAGTCAATATGGAGAAGGATAGATCCGAAGGGTTAGTTGGATACATATTAGAAGTACAAAAAAAGTAGAGGGGCAGAGGAATACCTAAATTAGATTTCATTTGCAAATAGTTAGGGATGTGAGGTGTTCAGGATACGAAGGAGTGAGGGTGTGTCTGACCAATCTTTGGGCCGACTACTTCGGGATTAATGAACATGTCCAATAGATCAATTTGGGCGAGTGATTTTTAAAATTATAATTTACACACCTGTTCAGTTTGAAGAAGAGTGGAACAAGACTAATCGGAAATTCTTAACGACGAATTTAAGAACATATATACGTACAATATTCACACAAAATTAATGGGGTTCACACTAAAGTACGCCTTTGCTTACAACATGGAGAAATGCAACAAAATACAAAGACAATTACAAGACACTGCCAAGACACTTTTATACGTCATAAAAATTCAATTTGTTAATGTTCAAAACATAGAATCAACTATGAAGAACATGTAAAGGACAACCTAACCACGAAGAAAACGAATACAAAGGATAAAATGAAAGCAACCTAAAAGGCAACAGAAAAAAACAACTTTGAGCAACATTGATTTAGACGTTAGAATCCGGATTAGTCTCCACGGCTCGTTTTAGCGAAATACTTTTCCTATTTGCGAGATTTTCGGAGCTACGAGACCTCGTGGTAATACCAGGACGTTTAGAATGCAATTGGCCATCCACAGTAACAGGCCGATTTCCACGAATCGAAGACAAAGGCGAGATATAACTGTAATCGCTGATGACACTTCGAGCGTCGTCTGTCGAGGTACTGCCAGCCCAAGGCACCACTTGCATTAAATATTTAGTACATGCTGCAGACACTAGTTCTGTATACATTTCCTCCTCTAATTTCTATAAAAAGGCCGTTTGTATGTGTAAAATCGTAATTTACAAAAGTAATTATAGATGATAGCCACAGCAAACATTTCATTAGAGAAAATCGACTGTAGTAATATAAAGAAAGCATTACTTGCCTGTTTTCTGGGTTTCAATTGAGCTTTCCATTCTTGCAGTTCTTGTGCATATGTTTCTTCGCGCTGCTTCAATTTCATGGTTTCATGTTCTGTGAGCATTTTGCGTTTTTCATTCTGCAACTGTTCCAATTCTTTAATTGTTGCTTCGTTCATGGCTCGAAGTTCTTCTAACTGTCGTTGATGTTTAAGTTCAAACCGATGTTGTTCTGCTTGGTAACGTATCTTTTCGTTTTCTTGGAACTAAAACAAAATAATATCTATTTTAGAATCTGGCCTGAGAAAGGCGAAGGTGTAAATATGTAATAAATTTAACACTTACTTCTTTAAATCGGTTCTTATCTACTTCAGGATCTGCCACGCCTCCAGAAACGGAAATACGCATCGACTCTCTAAACATCATCTCCCGTGCTTTCATTTCGGCACGTATTCTTTTCGGTAACGCCCTTCTTTCAATTGCTTGCTTCTTAAGCAAGTCTTCTTCCTTTTTGGCCGACTTTCTTTTAACTTGTTCCATTTCCTTGTCGTGGCGGTTAAGCATTTGATGTCGTTGAAGGAAGAAGATGTCCTTGAGCTGTCTTTTTATAAGCTGGTGTTTCTCATGGATTTGCTTCTCCTCGATTTCCCACAGAGCCGCCTCTCTTGTTCTGGTTAGTTGCTGCTTTTGTTGAAGGTACTGTCGTTCCATTAAGGCAATCTTTTCTCGATGGGAATCGCTCATTCTCTTCAATGAACTTTCGTGGTTTTCATTTAGTTTTTCTAAAAAGGCGCGCTCACGTTCTAGATGTTCTGCGTCTAATTTTTCCTTGCGAGCTAAAAGATAAAATGAATGAAAATTTTAAAATTTTAACGATTTATTGGTAATTACTTTTGTACTCTTGTTTACGTTGCTCTTTGGGAAGTCGGTCGATTTCGGCCTTGAGCAATCGCAATTCTTGTTTAAGACCTTCACGAAATTGTTTAAGTTCTCTTTCTTGGTCAGCTCGAATTTTTTTCGATAAAGCTCGAAGATCTGTGTCCAATTGAGCTTCTGCTCTTTCTATAAGCATTCTTTGCTGTCGACTGAGCATTTCTAAGTCACTTTCAAACGTCTTCTCCAGAGCTACGCGTTCTTGCTCAAATCGCTTCTCCTGCTGTTCCGTCGCAAGATTTTCTTTCAAATACAAGTCTTGGAACTGTTTTTGTTCCTGTTTTTGTAGGTACTTCAATTCGCGCAGTTCTAATTTACGGAACTGATGTGGGTCGCTAATCGTATTATTGTCATCGTCACCGTAAATCACCTTACTCGTGGTCGTTGTAATGACTACGCCGTCTATCACAAAACGTCGCGTCCGTTTTCGCGTCTTTCTATTCAAGTTGTTAAGCGCCATCATTTCATCCTTGATGCTGCGAGTTGTTTGTGGTTTTCTTCTGAGCACCACATCATCTTCCTGTTCTCCGGACTCCGACAATCTGAATAAAAAATAAATTAAAATTGCGCTACGCTCTTTTGAGTATCTGTAAGAATGTTTACCTTTCATTTCTATGTTCCTTCCCACTACTACCTCTACTGTCGTGACTAGCCAAGGAAATGCTTTCTGCATCTGACTGTTCAATGCTCTTGCTTGTACTAGATATAGGACGTCTACTGGAAGAATCATTACTTCTGACCGAGCCCCCACTATCGCTATGCGACCTGGAATCGCAAGGAATTGATTCGAAACTGTCGGGATACATTTTTCCATTAAGTGCATTGTTCTTTTTATTCTTTTTGTATACATCATCCTGGCTTGTAGAATAAACGATCTAAAAAAATTACAAATAAGTAATTTTCAAAATTTTTTTTCTCGAAAAGATTGAATTACTTGTCCGTTAACTTTTCCCTCTTTACCATCGAGGATTATAGATGTGGCGGACTCGCTACCACTTTTACTGCTTCCACTTCTAGCCGAAGACAGATCACTTGTAGATCCGCGCATTCTATCATACACAACCGATGCGGAGTCCTTTACCTGAACTTTTTCTTCGTCTATTTTGACAACAGATACGTGGCTGGTATCTAGTAGCGGATGATTGGCATCATCTTCCGAAACGTCCAGACCAGAATCATTAATTACATAGCTTGAATCGGCGATTAGCACTTCACTATCGTCCAGTTTTTTAGCATTTGTCATTATCTGACGAGTGTCCCGAAACGCAAGAGGGGGGAGATATTCCAGAGAATCTAGAGATGGTGAGAATTCATCATCGGTAGAAGACGATTCGTTTACGTGAGTTTTGTTCATTTCGTTTGAAACTATAACGACTTCGTTACTTCCTGCAGTTGTCGCTGATGATGAACTAGGTAAGCGAGAAATGCTGTGCATATTGTCGATTATGACAGGGGGATGAGTAGTCACCACGGTAACCTATGACGAAAAGAAGTTTGTGTTCATCTTTGAAGGGGAAACTGTTTATCGTTTAATCTACTTACTTGACTTATATTTGAGGCAAGACTATTGGACGGATCTGGAAGATCAGAAATAATTGTTACAGTGGACGTGTTAACTTTCCCACGGTCAGCGGATGGGGTGGAGACGACAACTAAACTTCCTGCAGAGTTGTCTACATTTATCGCATTAGACGGTGTTGTGATAGTTACACTGTCACTAGTTTGATTCAATTCACCAGGTATTTCTCTAATGAGAGCCCTCTTTTCCCATACACCTTCTTCCAAAGACTTTTTACGGTTTCGTTCAATTTCCTCAGTTTTATTCCTATCCAAATCATCGCCAACTGACTTTCGTCGAATCTTATTGTCAATTTCCAGTTCTTTTTTGTCTGCAGGAATATGAGGAACAATCTTATTGGTAATAACAGCCTCAATATGTCCATCCAAAATTTTCTTGTTGGTAGCATCTTTGTTTTCGTTTTCTTCTGGTTGTTTTGTCTTCTTTTCTTGGATTTTCTTCAATTGATCCTGTAAAGTTTTGGCAGATGGTAAAACAGGAGGAACAAGTGGTGGTAAGGGAGGTGTACTTGGTGGTGTAAGTGGTGACGAAGGTGGCGTAGGGAGAATTGGCAATGGCACAGGTGGTAAAGGTGGTGGAGGTGGAGGAGGAGGCACTTGAGCGATCGAAACTACGGGAACGGGAGGAACTTCTGGTGCTTTCTCTTTTTCAGTGCTACTTTGTCTGATTAATTCGACGGAAGTTTGAGGAGGTGGAAGGGGTGGTAACGGAGCGGGGCCCTTGTCTCTTGACGTTTTTCTTTGTAGTTCTCGTTTTTCAGCCTATAAGCAAAGAAATATACATGCTATTCCTGTAGTTTATATAGAAATAATTTTTCATACCGATCGTTTCTCTTCTTCTGCTGAAGACCTGCTTTGAACAGAAGTAGTTGATTCGGTAGAGTTCTCCTTTTTGAGCTTTTTCGGGTCGATATTTTCTGCTTCAATTTCCCGTTTAGCTTGTCCTGTGTCCGCGGCTGCATGAATAGGTAATTATTAAAAAGACTTCCAAAAATCAATTAATTCGATTAACTTACGTTTAGAAGAATCAACTTCGTTACTTTTTACAGAAGTAGTGTCATCTTCGATATCCAGAGGAACTTGGGAAGCTCGATTGTCCTGAAATGAAACGTTTGAGCAAGGGAATACCTTGTGTTCAAATAATCTAATTTTTGTAATTGCAGTACATTAAGCAAAGATTATTAAATCTTCCTTATGGTAGTAGTTCTTGAAAACAGTTACAAAAATTCTACAGTGAGTATTATGGAAATTTCTGTTGTTATGCAGTATTGTGTTGAAAAGCAATATAATTCATGGCAATTCTTTGAAGCGAGTAATTAGTGAAATTTCTGTTACAAAACAACAGAAAAATGACCAACCAAGTGCAAAATTGAAAGCATCACATTATATATACGTACAATGTCATCTAGATACACAGTACGCGAATTGAAGATGCAGTACCATTTTAGCGGCATGCGCAAAAATAAGCATAATACAGAACGTCAGTCATAATAGTTATAGTTTTTTCTAATAATAAATTTGCATTTATTTGATCGCCGTTTAACTTTATCCAGACAGAATGAATCCAGTTTTATAGTTCTATCTGTGCAGGCATTAGAATAAGTTCGAAATGAAAGTAAGACAGTAAAAATTTTACCAGTACAACATAAAGTGAATGTCCATTAGTCGGACAGGACTGTTACAATTTGCTTTCAAGTATGTAGTAATTAAACCTTAACGATGAAACTTATGAGTGTATTAGTATGTACTAATAAGTTATTTTATCAAGTTTATACAATAATATCGTAGTAGCGTTACAATTAATTAACTTTTTTTTAACCTGCAGTTTTTATTCACGAAACATGAACATGTACTAAAAGAACTTACCAATCCTCTGGTATATTTCTTTATGTTTTCGGAGCTTCCTATGACGCTAAGCATGAAAGATATTTACAACAGTAAATAATTGTGCTTTAAAGGCGAAAAACACTACACAAATTAAAAAGAAGGAAAACTTGAACTGCAGGTGGTATTTATAAATTATTATTAAATGAAACCCACCACCGTTTCAGTTGTTAAAATTTCACTCACCTCTGGATCGTCATCGGTCAGTAATTCCTCCTCCACGATATCAGCCTTGTATTCTAACAATAGATCCCTAATGGGCTTAGAGTCGATGGTGCAATTAATGAATGGGTGTCTTAAAAGGTCTTCACAGGTAGGCCTTTTTTGTGGATCCTTCGTTAGAGCCTTTGAAACAAAGTCGTTAAATTCTTTAGACCATTTAGAGGGCTGTTCCAGTTTGGGAGGGTCAGACTTTTGAATTTTTAAAAGTACCCTCATAGGCGACATCTCGTGGTTTGGCGGCTCCATTTGAGCAAACTCGATAAGCGTTATACCCAAAGACCATATATCAACTTTGAAATCGTACGGATTGTCTCGAAACGTCTCGCAGAGTACCACTTCCGGGGCCATCCAATACGGGGTGCCTATGAAGGTGTCATGTTTCTGGAAGGTCGACTTATTTTTTGCAGACACCCCAAAATCGGCTGTAAAGAATGAACACGTTAACTAAAGGTTTTGATTGAAATATGTGTTTTCAATTTTTCATACAATTTATTGTTTATCATTAAAGTATCTTATCTTGGTGTTTTCCCAAACCCAGTGTGGGTCAGATATTCGGTGGATCCGGCACTTTTTTACGGATTTGGCCGGATATTGGATAATTGATTTTAATACACAGTGGTTTTTATTAGTAACCAATGTATAATCAAAGCCAAAAGGAATTAAAAGTGTCCTTACCAAAAGAGCTTTCAACCCAAAGCCCTTACTTAATTTAGCCCTTGAAGTCCCAATTACATACTAGGAAAGAAATTAGATTCAAATCCCTAAGAACTTTTAATTACCAATTACAATGCATTTTTATGAAGTATTTGGTTTACCAAACCCAACTACGAAAGGACTTGAATTATGCTTCTTCCAAGCCCTGAAAACCTTGAAAGGACTTTTCAAATACAAAGTACTGAAGCTCTGTCCTGTTTTGGTTGTAGTATTATGTGGTAAATGTTATTTTAGAAGACGATGGTGTTTTAACGGTCTACCCAAATGACTTCTACTCGAAACACTTTCTAAATTCTCCGACAGATAGTAAATATTTGCATAATAATTCATTGATTATTCAAATGCCAATCCAAAATCCACGTATTCACACAAAGAGGATTCACTAATTAGACTTTTCGATATTCCTTTAGATAAATCACTTATTAATATTCAAAGACATATGAAAACTAATATTCCCTATATAAGATTCCAACGGAATATATGTGCTGATTACATTTTAGATGTTTTACGTTAAATGTAGACCATATGCAAATATTGGTTCAAGGTCTATAAACCCAATTTCACTTAATATTGAACCAGAACTTGTTACGTTTGAGTAAAATAATGTATTGAGTTCAGTTCCTATAAGTCTAGTAAGATTTCGAATGCACATAAGTAGACGCATTTGAATGAGAAAATTGTAGAAAACAAACGGATAGAAGGTTTTCGCAATTTATAATGGGTACGGAGTATGTGATTTGTAATTTATTAGTTTACTTAATAATCAACTTATGACTTTTCGTTTTTGTCACCAATTCTATTGTACAAGGAATTCTTGTTGTGTACATTTCACACATACCTGAACACTAGAAGGTATGTAGCAGTAAAAAAGTGATAATGATTAAAATGTTTTCCAATGTAGGATTACATTATTATTATCATTATTATTAACGCTTATTTTTATTAACTTCAAGGTAAGAACATTCAAATAGCACAGGGAAAATTACAAATAATAGGTAATACATTCGAAAATTAATTAAATGCGTCTATAGTTATAAAATCACAATATTTTGGGGAGCATGGGAACTAAAAACAATATTGGTTCATTTTTTATAATTATGTATTACAAGGGAAGTTTTATGTGATTTATTGAGCTTATTTTCTCAATAAATTTTAATGCAAGTATGACAAATTGGACTTTTAATTTCTTCCATACAACTGTATTGTATTTAATTGACCTCGGATTAACCTCTGAATATATTATATGCATGTGACTGTGGCGCACATAAATAGCAGACTCTATTCTAAGGCTCCTTTTTGCCATCTTTCGCAAATACATAAATAATAGTAATTTAGAAAATTTAAACGATCTTACATATAAGCACTTTTTAATATTTTTACTAAATCTTCACAGTCTACCTGTAGCTGATAACACTTTTCCTATACCATTACATTTTTTGAAAACCTATCAATACACTTCAAAAAAATTGTATAGTATTACCTGATTCTACTAAAATTAATGTTTTTTATTATCTACTCTAAAAAAGCACTTGTTAAAAGCAGTAATAGTAGTCTAGAATTAATTATCAGAAGTTTCTTGATAACGACAATGACTAATCACGCTAATTATTATCATTTACTTTTTCCACTTATCCTAGTAGCTTATTATCCTGCAAATATTAAACGCAAAAAAGGGAACAATTGGCTAACTTAACGAAAAATAGTAAAGTTTTATTTTGTAATCGAGAATAGTTTTGGGCGAATGTCTTATTATCTCAAAAGATAACGGCAAAAAATTCTTTCCTATGACAAGACACACCTGTAATAATTATCTACATAAGAGTGTACTTAATAATTATGAAATATCAACGATGAAATTTTGTTTGTATCCGTTTTTAACTATTTTACGCACATAGTAGATTCACAGACCATATCAATTGGCTAATTAACGTACAATGGGGTTCAAGTTTGTTTAACTAATTGAACATTAATCAATAAGATCTGCGTTTTTATTGTTTTAAAAAGCATTCGTTTGTACGAAATACAATAGACACTCGATAGTGTGAACAGTTGCTCACGTTATCGGCTTGTTAAATATAATCTATAATAAACATATAAAAATAAACATCCAAGAACACTAACACATAGTAAGTAGCATACCTATCTTCTCCTAGCAAGATTGAAAAAAGCCTTGTGGAGTGAAGGTATACAAAGTAGTAATAAAATATAATCTTTGATTCTGGAGATTATAAATTTTTTGCATAATAGCTTTCTTAGTCTTTTTATATCAATTAGGTCTCGATTACTACAATTAAAGCAACAACGATTTACATATGTATCTATTTAAGATGAATGCACGAATAAAACATGTCTTCAACGAATAGGTACGACTGGGGAAGTCCCAAGCATATGGAAGGCCTAGAGCAATGCCCCAATAGCAACCGCAAAATATTGATTTTTAAGCCAAATGATGGACATTCATTTCTATCGGCGAAGGATTAGTTTGTTCACGATATAGTGACCTAACATGATTAATATTCTGTTCACATTATGCGGGGTTTCCATTATGCAATGTTCACACTATCCAGTGTCTACTAGTTTCATCAGAGTGCAATTTGGTTAATGAAAATGAAACAGTAATAAATTGTTAATTAAAATCTCCTGATATTTCATGAATAAATCAAATTGAAAATTTATCATTGAAAAACTAATCTAATGTTTCATTAAAAAGAAAATGCATTTCTTACAGACAATGTAGTTGAACATTAAAAACGGTTTTGTACTAAATGAACGGAATAGGATTACGAAAATAATTGGATTGCGAAGTCCTACAAGGGTAGGCAAGTTTTTAATAAAGCTCGCTTATCAGTAGTTTTCGAACTTTTGACCGGATAATTGGGTTTATGCGACGGTACATTTGATACCTGCTTACTTATTCGTACATATGACGTCATTATAAGGAGCGTACTTAGGCGCTAAGCTATTTTTTTTTATAGAAACAGGTAAAAACGGCGTATTATTGTAATTTTCATAGGTGGGGTTGCATTCGTTACAAATAGCAACACCTACCCTTTGTTCACTTATAATTCTTATCCGATAAAATTTTGGTCGTCGGCCTAAGTACCGACCTTATATACGTTCCCTACTTATTACATGTATGAGAAAAATAACGTAAGAAACAACATTAATGCCGGATAAAATTGAAGTATAATATTTATACCTAGTTCGTTTCTCTACTACAACTTGTCTCTTGTAACTTTCATTGAAATTCCAACAAATAATTTAGAAATAATCAACCTTATAAATACGTACACACTTGCGATTGGAAACGATACATTATAGAAACGGCCTTGTATTTTAAAAACGTTTAGAGAGCAATGTATGCGTAATTTAATGTTTATTGCATGCTTCAAATATTTAGATAAATCAATAACAATACTTAAAAGAACATTGAATTACTCTTATAATTCACTAACTTTTTCTCATATTTCAAGGAACTTTTTAAAATAAATTAATCCACCACATATTGACCAATTATCAAAACTATTTTATTTTATGCCGAAATAATACACATTTTTGCCTTTTTCTTTTAGTTTAAATAGGTAATTACAATACCGTAAAGTTACTTACTAATAGAATACAACGGCAGCATTAATCACAAATCTATTTTTAGTAATTTGTAAAACATTGCTTATGACGAGAAAGACTATTATAAATGATCTTGAAACATTATCAATAATAATTTATAAATAATAACAATACAAGACTAAATATGTACGTATTTTACAAAAATGTTAACAAACGAAAAATACGTGAACCATGTAGATAGATATGAACATTTTTTTAATTGCCATTATTAATTGATGGAAGCTGTTAATAAAAACCAGCATACAGCTGTAGTTTAGAATTCGATTTCCAAAAAATAAACACACGGGAAAATAAATAAAAATTATTAATTAATATTTTTATTCATTTACTTTCGTACTTGGTAATGTGCTAGAAATTTGGAACTTTTACCATTCTGTGTTAGGTGTCAGTTTATGGCACGTGTAGGATGCGACTACAAGAAAAATTAAGCAGCTTGACAACTTTCTCCTAAGATATCATAGAAATTTGTATTTGTTTATCAATTGAAACGACTAGTGTGTGTTCAAGTTGAGAAAACGATTTCATTAATGAAAGAACGCACAATTTACTAATCAAGAAATAGCATAGCTAGCATCCCATTTTATCACAATTAGCTGCATATAATTCCGAATTATTTCAAAAACTAATACATTTCATCGTTTATGAAGTTGTTATAATTAAATTGTAACTACGTTTGTGCTGTATATAATTTTTAGTATATACTTTTTAATTTTTTTTTTGACACCTGAGGTCCAATTAAAGGTAGACAATTCAAAATTTTAGAGAAATGGTAAAAAGGCAAAAGTGCTTTTACATCAAACGATAAAACTGTTTAATTTGGATTATAAAATTTATGACCTATGATTATAAATGCTAATATTTATTAATGCAATAGCACTTCCGGTTTCTCCTTCCTTTCCAATCGTTTCCGGGAAACAAAATTAATGTGTTATTACGCAATAGCATATGTATACAGCTATATACATTATTAGTTATTAATAAAACACGAATTAAAATGGTACGCCTTAACATTTTTCAGCTTGTTACAGAAATGAGAATTTTAATCAAATAAGAGAGGCCGGGCCGCCTACATAGTAGCATTGATTTTACTTCAAATACCTATCCACAATTTTAATCATGTCAACAGTTCCACGATAAACTTTTTCGATATTTTTTGTTCTTTTTTTAGCATATAGAAAACATGTACCTTTTATTTGATTCCACTTATTTCATGTACATATACGTGACGGTTAATATGCGTACCTTTGTATGCAAGCCACCCAACTGTCTGGGTTGAATGAATATTCGTACGTGTTGTCTTTTCCTACCGTAATCTTAAGATACTAAACATATCCGTGCAAAAAATTCACGAATGTAGACGTTTTTGTGGCGCGCCCTTTAGTCATGCACGCATAAGCCATGTAGCCGATCGTCCCGCAGTTTTTTTTTTAATGAATATAGAATGCTCAGACCTTTAATTTGATATTATGATACGTGTAAGTACGAGCATGCGACCTACGGAAACACTAGTATATATGTACCTAGATATTCATCGCAGTATAAAAAGAAAAGTTTAGATGAACTTTTTTAACAAGTTGTAATTTTTTATGACAAAATTCAATACTTTTTTATAAGTTCTTAAACTGTTAACACATTTGTTTATGACTCATAATACATAATTACATATGTTTTACTTTTTATTTGTTTTATATCACTGTTGTTTGATGACATAAATTTACTCACAATTTTACGTAATGTCTATTTTATTAGGCCTTGAAAGACATTATCATTGTCTTTTTTCTGCTATAAAATTTCAATTGCATATAGTGCATATTCATTACACAAATTACTTTGTGTATGATTTAATCAAGAAATGTGTTGTTCCTATCTTCAAAAATTAATTCTTAGTTTTATATTAATTATGCAAAACGTGAATAATTAATTACATTGCACAAAATGCTCTTCTATTACAGAAAAAAAAGGCAGGCTAGATGTTTACTCACCTAATTTGACCCCACCATTCATAGTCAGTAGTACATTTCCAGCCTTAAGGTCTCGATGAATGATATGAGACTTGTGTAGAAACTGCAGACCTTTACATATATTTTGGCACACATAAGTAATTTGTGGTTCATTTAACGGTTTTTCTAACTCAGTCATTATACTATCAACAGCACCACCATCACAATATTCTATAAGCATCCATAACTGCTGTTCAATCTGAAATGCTTCAATTAATTCGACTACATTTGGATGTTTGCATTCAGATAGAATGTCTATTTCAATCATAAAATCAGACATATCCTCTTCTCCATCAAGACGACACATTTTTGCAGCTGCAAGCTGCCCTGTATGCTTGTGTTGTGCCTTGTACACTTTACCGTATGCCCCATCCCCCAGCTCCCCAATCATGTCCCAGTACTCCTTGGGGTCGCATTCCATTCGCACATTATTAAACACTTTTTTCTTTTTCGCATCGTTTCCTCCCAAATGGAGCACTTTTTTGATATTATTAAAAAACGACATGATCACTAACTTTACAGTTTTTTCACTTGTGCATAAATACTTTTCATTTCTTCATATTAATTTACTGAAGTAAGTTCACATGTTGGACTCTGGTTTATAATCCCTATTTTACTTGTGCAGTGAATTTGATTATCTAAAATGGAAAACTAAACAAATAACCTTTCATTTTTAATTTGTAGGGTACTAATACAGACTATTTTTTTGTTCAGTTACATGGCCCTTTGTCACAAATAATTGATTTTTTTGGGGTACTATGACTTGTAAAGACTGAAAATTTTAAGAATGTTCTGAAGCGAAATTAATGAAAAGGCTTAAAACACTGATGCATGGTGAAAGGCCATGTCAAAGAAGATATTTGTTTGTTAACAGTTAACAACCTGCCCACCTCAAATTCACTTACTTTAAGTAGTACTTGCTTAATATTTTGCACGATCAAATAAAAATATGAAAACATGCACTAAAAATAATACTCGCGCTCTATTTTGCACTCTTGCTGTGTTATTGGGATTTTCACATCTTCGTTAAAACAGTCAGCCATGCTAATTTTTGAAGAGCCAATCCCCGACCCCCTTTCTGCACCACGCCTGAAAATGACATCACGAAAGCGCATGCCATCGCAGCAAGTGCTTTGGCGAAAAATAAGTAAATAATAAGTTATGTTTTTTTTTTCTAAACGAACTAATAAAACCGTTTTATCAAAGTTAAATATAAGAGGCGAAATCAAAAATTTCATTTAATATTTTAGGAAAAGAACTATGTCATGAAAAATTACCCATATAGAAACAGAANTTTTTGCATAATTATCATATCTCAAAGCTTCGTAAATATCTTCCATCTTCACGCTTTTTAATGTTTAAATTTTTTTTATATACTTTAGCGAAAATAATCCCGGAAGGTATCAATTTAAGACCCACCTGAAAATCATTGGTATCATAAGATTCTACATACTTTTCTACACAATAATAATTTCTCATTGCTTAGTAAATACATTCTATTGTCCAGTAATTTTACGAGCGCTGTTTTATTTTAAAATTATTTTATATACTTGGTACTATGAACATATACTTTGTTTACATAATTATCACTTCGTGAACTCAGGAATTATTCTCCATCTTCCAAAAATTTTAGAACTGTTTTTCTAAGTTTATTTTATGATAAGGACGAAGGCCGGCTTTTTTATGAATGCAAAATGAAGAGACCATTTGATTTTACGCCGTTAGTACGACAAGTGTAAATGTTTTTTAGCTAGTCCCAATTTTGCCCGACTAGACCTTATGTCTAGTTGGGGTTTGCTGTACTCCCAATAGATTAGCCTAGCCTTACGTTAAAGGTCATATTTTTGATATTTTATATTTATAAAACTTGAGTTTTTTAAGTTCAGTATGTGTATCTGCCTAAAGTTTTTTTGCAATTTACAGGTGTGCTGTAAGCTGTAATGTGTAAGGGATTTGTGAACTCATCATCTCTTCCACAGTAGAGTTGTTGCTTGGTGAGTAATAGTATTATTTCATATGCCATTATGATCTCGGAGATCGGTATTCGAATAGGAAAATCACTTTTAAATTTGTACACCCTATTTTGGATCTCGTTAGGGAGTGAAAGCACTCACGCATTTAAAATGAAACGAGAAGTATTTTGAACATTTTACTTTTCAATTTTCAAAATACAATCAAATACAAGTATTACGAAATGTTTCGCTTCAAAATGCACCTTATTTTTAAATCACAACAATGCATTTATGATAGTTTTTAAAAAATATGAACATATATACCTAGGTAATATATTCGATTTATTTTTTAAAATATGACGCAACAAACTTTACAAACCTACAATAAAATAATTTAAACTTTATAGAAAGCTTAAAGACCAGCAACCAGTTTTCCTGAACGGAACACAGACTAGCAAAATTACTGCGTTTGCGACGCAGACGCGGGAGAACACAATATTAGCATTTTAAGGCTGCATTATGTTTGTTGCAGGCCACGATTAAGATTAATAAGCAAATTCATGTTATTCATTAGAGAACAATCTACATTAATATTTTATTCACCTGAAATACAAGTTTACAAATGTAACCAGTGTTGCGGCTTCGTAAAACTTATTAAAACGCATAACTATGATACAATAATATTAACTAAAAAAACTTGACTCACATACAAAATCACATAACAAACTTACAGATTAAGAAAAACTATAAAATATGTACATTATATGTACTTATTTAAATCAATAGAATTCTTGTACAGAGGAAAAGTTACAAAATGGCAATAAGTGAATGACAAGGAGATAATAAAATTCAAAATGACTAGATTATTATCACACTCTCACACGGGAAATTACACTTCAAATACGTAAGAATTATATTTCATATTGTATTTTGAGGGCAGAAGAAACGACATTGAAAGTCCGGATAAGGCCAGTCATTCGTCTGTTAGTTAAATTTTTGGAAAGTTTGACAATACTGTAAATTTTGATAATAGATGGAATTTATTTTTGCAAATGACGTTTTTTTAGCTGCAACACACATTGCAGAGAATACAGGTGTAATGCATACATTTATTATTATGTGCAATAATTATGTGTTCGTGTTTACCATGAGTTAAAGAGTTAGATTTACGATTAGTTTAATTGTTTAATTGGTTATTTATACAATTACATATTGAATGTTTATCTTACTTTCCTGTTATTCATATTCACTAGGTGATATTTTGTAAGTTAACTACAATATATTTCTAATTATAGTAATAAATAAACAAAATGGCCAAACCACCCCCTCGTAGTATTATAACAATGATAATTACGAACTTTGTAAACTCTTTAAAACCCAAGAAAACTTCGGGAAATTTCAAAGGAATTGATTATATGGGTAATAATTATTATGAAATACCTGCAGACCCTTCGATTGGTAAAAGACAAGATAAAAGATGGTTTGTTCCACAAAACAGTGAAAATTTTGAGGATGTCCCCCCTGAATGGGATTCTTGGTTAAGAGGAAGGCGAAAAGAACCTCCAACAGAAGAAGAAATCATGAAAAATTTGGCTATTATTGAAATAAAAAGAAAGAATGCAATTGAAGTAGAAAAGAAAGCCGGAAAACCTAGCCAAATGATAACTGGTTATGAGAGCTTTCCTAAACGTCCTGAATATGAAATATTTCCTGGAGAACACAGTGATAAGGGTTCCACTAAATGATCATATTAAAATAGTTACTATTGTAAATAGATAATACATATAGAAATAGTAAAATCTATAGCATAAAGAAGAAATAGTTTTTTTCCAACCAAAACTTCGTAGTATCCTTTAGGGGCTCCATAGTTTTGATTTCCACTTTGTGACATTCCATATTAGAAAAAATACACTGTCACTTCTTTTAGTAATATGTTTTGTTTGTTAATATGACTTTGTAAGTGGAAACTGATTTTATATTGTATAATTTAACAAAGATAGTGACATTGTAAAAAAAGTTTTATTTATTTTTCTTAAAACTTAAAGGGGTACAAACCATACAAACCTATTATCCTTAATCAAGTATACTCTAATGTCATAATTAATGTATGTCAATATTATATTGTTTGGAATAATAATTTAAATAGTCCCATCATGTCGCGTACAGCACCTCCGCGTGATCTTATAAAAATAATTTTTACTAATTTTGTCAATTCCTTAAGGCCCAAAAGATTTTCTGAAAAATTAATTGGAACGGATTATCTAGGAAATAAATATTACGAATTAAAAGCCGATCACTCTCGTAAAAGACGTGGAGGTAGATGGTTTTTACCTCCCAAAGAAGACGACGTTGAACACGAAGTACCCCCAGAATGGATTTCTTGGTTGAAAGGTACGAGGGAAGAACCCCCCACAGAAGAAGAAATTAAAACTAATTTAGAAATAATTAAAATGAAGAGAGAAAATGCAGCCAAATTAGCTGAAAAATATGGGGAGGTTCCTCAAGAAGACAACACAATCGGGACTTTCCCTAAAAGACTCGAATATGAACAAGTTCCCGGGAAACCACCCGTAAAACAATTTGATAAAAAATGAAAAAAATGTATATCATTCTATTTTTATCTTATAATTTTCAATTATGGTAATTTGCCTTTTGTCTATTTATAAATAAATGCGTATCTGACATATTCTTTCTTTTTATAAGATGCTAAGATACGCTAAGGAGGGCTGGTGAAAGAGAAATTAAACCGGTGCGTGGACTAAAATAAAAAAGGTGAAAATCGTTTGCACCATGAGATTATACGTAGTTTTTTGCATAATTATCATATCTCAAAGCTTCGTAAATATCTTCCATCTTCACGCTTTTTAATGTTTAAATTTTTTTTATATACTTTAGCGAAAATAATCCCGGAAGGTATCAATTTAAGACCCACCTGAAAATCATTGGTATCNATATAGGTAGTGAATATTATTAGCACTAATGATTAATTTCAGAAGAAATGACAATTGAAACACCATGTATCTTTGCAAAAGCACAAACAATTTCGATAACTAAAAACCTGAGTCAATCGTGCAAATCTACCAATTCTGAACGATTTGTGTTTTTATTAATTGAAAATTGAAAATAAACCATCCAGAATTGTTTTGCACACATCCTGAAGCTGTTATACGTTAGGTTTTACATTTTAGTATTTATTTTCTTCTTAATCTGTAAGCAATTTATTGTAAGTACTTACAAAGCTATAATGAAAGCGCGAATGTTATGAGGATATATCACTGTTCTGATAGTATCTCCTTTGAGGTTCTGGTGTGTAATGAAACTGAGTGCGGAGATGCTGAGGTGAACCTGGTACACTTGTACTTTCTGATAATCTTCTCGGCGGTGGTACAGGTGGTGTTGGGGAAATGTATCTGTCACACATTTAAAAATCCGTTTTGCAAATAAAAATATTCACATTCACTCAATTATATTTACCTTCGTGATAATCCAGGTGAGTTGCTGTTGTCTAAATAAGTTCTTCGTGCTGCCAAAGGGCTCTGATTGTCCCCGCTGATTGTTCTATTAAGTCTTGGAGGAGGTTCCGGACTTTGGTGTCGAGAGGACCATCCACTTCTATCCCCACTCAAATTTAATTTTATGAAAGAAGCATACTTTCTTCGACCTGAAGAAAAATAATTTGAAATCCCGAAACAACTTTTATACAGGGGTAAATGTATGTATAGGGTGCATATTATTTTAGAGATAATGCATATGTTATTAAAGTAAGAATCGCCCTATTATGAACTACTGTCCTATCTATATATCTTACTAGGGTCCTCTTTAGCTGCTTCTTCCGCCTCTCTAGCCTTTTCTTGCTGTTTCTGTTGATGATGAAATCGCTGGATGAGAATCGGGCTCGTGTTGCCGCAGAGTTGTTCTTGACTGGTCTGTATTTGGTTTCGAGCGAGTAGGGGAGATCCCCCTGGTGACTCCCATCTACTTTCGCTCAATGTTCGACGAGGAAAATAAGGCGAAGTGTAAGGAGATGAAACAACATCGGGAATTTGGGTACGTTGGGAGAGGGGGGAAGCGTATTGACTTCTTTGGGTAGGAGGTGACGGGTATTGGCTTCTTTGAAGGGTTGGAGAAGGATATTGGCTTCTTTGGGGAGTGGGCGAGGGATATCTGTCACGGTCAGGGATATTGCTAAGACGATCGTGGCTTGATGGGGTGTAAAAGTTTCTATAAGGGGAATAGTGGACGAAAAACGGCCTTTATCCGAAATTTATTAAAATACTTTTTGAAATTCAGTAATTAATTATTTCTAAGCTAAAAGAAATAAATAAAATGTAATTTTGGTTTCCTTTTTCATCTGCACAAGTAACTAAGGAATATGCATCAATTATTAACAAGCGACAACAAAACCTGAAGGAAAACTACATGTGCATATACTAATAGTTAAAAGCAAATCAATTTTTTATATAGATATTGTTCTTGTTGCCATAGTTTTTAATTATTTTAATTATAAGTATGTAATTACATTTATATAAATTGCATAGGCACAATTAAATCCAAATAGGCATTAATTACACTGAATAGTTTCGAATTTATTTAACATTCATTCTTCAACAAACAAAGCACATTTACCATCTCCAAACTCATTTTTAAAAAAATCACTGTAACTTGTAATAAGTGGCAATTTAATTTCTTTTGTTTCATGTATCCATTGCGTGTTAAACTTTTGCCAATCAAAATGTCTTTAATATCAAAATCTAATGGTGCAATTATTATTGTAGTTTTCTGACAAAAAGTGTATTCTTTGATGTGTAACGTCTTGCCGCTCGATATGTGCGTATGTGGGACTATGAGAGTAATTTTGTGAATGCGACAGAAACGCGTAAGTAAAAGTTAGGGAGGTTGAAGTGCACAATATTCGATTTGATTAATTGCATTGATTATGTTGCCTACAATTGGTGTTCTAACAGATAGAGATTAAAAGAGAAAAATAAGGAAGACCCAGCTCTCAATCGTTCGACCTGATAGCTTGGTCTTTAATAGCACAATGTATTGCCTTGCAACTTTATTTGTGAAATTATTATTTTGCTCGTTATCGATATTAGATGTTACACATCATTAGCCACTACTTTAAATAAGACTGGAATTGTTGATTTCTTTCTATCAAATCGTGGTATTTTTACAAAAAAATAATTTTGAAGCAGCTAGTAAATAATATGTTTCAGTTAACAAAAAAATTTATACCAAAGCTTTCCTAGATGCCTTGCGTGCCGTTTTACTTACGACTAATATATAGTTTTAGTAAAATTCTACATCAATAGAATATACACGNTGTTATTAAAGTAAGAATCGCCCTATTATGAACTAATTTCCTATCTATATATCTTACTAGGGTCCTCTTTAGCTGCTTCTTCCGCCTCTCTAGCCTTTTCTTGCTGTTTCTGTTGATGATGAAATCGCTGGATGAGAATCGGGCTCGTGTTGCCGCAGAGTTGTTCTTGACTGGTCTGTATTTGGTTTCGAGCGAGTAGGGGAGATCCCCCTGGTGACTCCCATCTACTTTCGCTCAATGTTCGACGAGGAAAATAAGGCGAAGTGTAAGGAGATGAAACAACATCGGGAATTTGGGTACGTTGGGAGAGGGGGGAAGCGTATTGACTTCTTTGGGTAGGAGGTGACGGGTATTGGCTTCTTTGAAGGGTTGGAGAAGGATATTGGCTTCTTTGGGGAGTGGGCGAGGGATATCTGTCACGGTCAGGGATATTGCTAAGACGATCGTGGCTTGATGGGGTGTAAAAGTTTCTATAAGGGGAATAGTTTCTAGAAAAATAATTTCGTTTAGTATTTTGTAATCGTATTGTACTTAATCATATAGAATTTATTTACCTTTCGGTTGTCCTTTGGTGAGTACTGTTTAGAAGCGTATCTCTTTGGTGTGCGACGTTTGCGTTCGGATTTTGGAATGTGGTTAGTCTTGAATTGTGTATAGAACGACCGTCGGGTGGACGCGAAATAGTCAGCGAATTATAAGATTCCTTAAATTTAGATTCTAATGAGATAAAAGGATGAGCACTTGTTTCGTTTCGTTGAAGTAGAGGTGAAGACGACGGGGTTGTACCGTTCGTTAGAGAAGAAACCTGAGTTTGAGGACTTGGGTTTTGATCCTGAATCGGTTTTAGGAACTGTCTTCTACTAGTTACAATCGGTGGAGGTGCTTGTCTAAAGAAACACTTTTTATTAAAACATAAAACTCTTGGATTAAATCGTCGTGAGTAAAATTAACCATTTCAAATTTCTCCTTTACTTATATTAATTGATCTTTCTTCTTTTTACTTTTACTGCAAATAAAATTATTGTCTATACATTACCTAGGTGCAGCTTTTTTTGTAGCTAAAAGATCTGCCTGCTGCATTGCTTTAGCAAACCATTCTGCAACATTCACTTCAATTATTTCGTATTTTTTCAAAAAGTTTTCGTTTTGTAATTTGTCATATTTGGGTCTTTGTTTAGGATCTTTCTTTAAACTAAATAAAAATAAGTTACAATTATTGCCTCAGAAATAATATTTCGGCTTTTGCATACCATAAAGAAACAAATTGTCGAAATTCTGGTGTGAAGTCTTTATCTTCTGGGAGAGTGGGGGGATCTTGTACAATAACTTTGCTAAGAACTTCAAAGTCAGTCTTGCAATCTTGGTATGGAAACATACCAGTTGCTAATTCCATTAATGTTATTCCCAAAGACCATACATCTGCTCGTATGTCGTAGTCGGGATTATTGGGATCAGCAGGTTCTATTCTTTCAGGCTATAATATCGTCAAAAACGTTTAAGTACTTAGATCAATTTGGGAATGCAATTTTGTCTTACTGCCATATATGCTGTGCAGCCTGCACTTCTAGATTTCACCATTGAATCAACAAGACGTCCACTAATTCCAAAGTCGCACAGTTTTATATTTCCACGTTCATCAAGTAAAATATTCGAAGGCTTTACATCTCTATGAATGACCCCGTGCTTTTCTTTTAAGTATGATAGAGCTTTTACAGTCTAAAATAAATATCTAATTGATTAAGTTAGTTGAGACATAACTTTTTCCAACATACTGATACAGTCACTTTTCCTATTACTGGTTCAGGAATTGGTTGTTTAAGTCTTTTTAAAAGTTTGTCAAAACATGTGGCCATTAACTCCATACATATCCACACTTCTGCTTCTGTTATAAAACAACCTAAACATTGGACAATGAAGGGACAATCATGAGATTTAATAACCACTTCAATATCCATTATAATTCTCTTATTTTCTTCTGAATTACCAGAACGCCTCATTTGCTAAAAGTCAGTACAGCAATAAATTCAAGCCAGAGAAATTTAAACAAAAACCTTGAATCTTCTTTGTTGTCTAATAATATGATTTTTGCATTTATTATAACAATATTTTTTTGGCAAAAAATTACTTGGCAAAATGCCTAAAAAGTGTCAATGAATTTATAATAAATTATTTACTTCTCTTAACCAATGAATAATCCTTCTTAATCTATCTAACCTTTCAAGTAAACAGTTTATAAAGAATCATTAATTTTAAGTATAGGTATTTTGAAAAATTTTCCCTTAAAGTGAGATACTCACTTTTACAGCAATAACTTCTGAACTTGCTGTATGTTTCATTTTTACTACATGACCACAAGTTCCATTACCTAATTCTTCTATATGTTCCATGTCTTTAATATCAGTCATATAATTAACACCATTTATTTTTAAGTTACCACTAATTTTCATAATTTCTCTAAGTTTTTTATCAGTCTCTTGGTGGTCATTACGCTTAGGTGAGAAGGGGAGGTTATTTGGCCTTTTCATGTTGGGACTACCAGGATTAGTTAATGAATTCACTAAAGGAAAGTACGTAAACATCAGTGTCAAATGTTTATTACTGTTTAATCTAATGATCGTTATAAAAAGTACTTACAATTTAAATTTGGGCGATTGGGTCGACGCTGGCCATTTTGTTCAGGTCCATTTAAAACGTGAAGTGGTACACTACTGCTTGAATTTTCAGTTCGTAAACGGCCCAATAAATCGTTTATTCTGCTTTCTGAATTAGACATTTTTAAATGTAAAACTTTTTATGACAGCCATTTATACAATATATAACCTGTAAACATAAATTTGACATTTTTGACACATGTCAGTTGTCAGTAAGAAGTTTCTGTATTTTGAATGTGTCTTAGTTACCCAAGCCCGTACAAATTTATTTTTTTTAATAATTTGTGATTTCATAGTTATCAACTATTATNTCGTCCTTTCGTGAATATGATCTTGGCATTTTACGAATATCAGTTGAATATAATCAATAATTAATAGCTAGTTCCGTTTTAATTATTTATTATAAGTGATAAAATATCGACACGATTAGGCATGCATATTATTAGACATACAATGGTTTACAAAACATTAAACGGTTGAATTGCATTAGTAATAGAATATTTGAATAGTAATAGTTAAGATGTTAAATATACTTCAAAATGTAGGGATGAGTTACAGAGATAGAAGAGTGATACTTGGTTTGTATAAAGAGCAATTGGTAGTTATAGAGCTGGAGCTGCAACGTAGAGAAGTAATTATTAGGAACTTAAATGGGGATGCACACTGTCACTAGGGTTGCCACCCGTAATTTATTATAAAGTATTGTACTCTATTTCGACTGTGCGTACGTTATACTTTACAAGACACATAAAGTACGCTAAAATACTTTTTTACATACTCTAATAAATATGTAATAGTGATACGGTTTATATGTACTGTGTACACTAATAACTTTCACTGACAAGAATATAAAAATATTATTGAAAAGAAAGCTTGCTCATAATGGCTTTGGAACTTTTTTAGTGACATGACGTAAGAAGTAGACAAAAAGATTTGCAGGGTGAACCGGGTGCATGTGTTTGCTTTTTAGTTGATAGTTTATTCATATACTTAAGAGAATATGGCGCAAAGTCATCATTAGGAAGATTAACAATATAATTTGAATGGAGTTTAGAGAGTTATAACCTGAAAAAGACAGTTTTTCCTGGATAAATTATGGTTGTTTTACTGCAAATACTAGACACAGTTATATATATAAAATATTGTATTTCGATTAACGTTATAACTTGTTGTGGTCGATACCGAGTGATGCAAAATATTTGGTCATTTTTATAAAAAATTGTCCTGAATCTCGTTTAATGCCTCATTTGTCAGTTATAATTGCTTTAATATGAAAACATTTTACAACTGTATTCTTCTTTCAAATTGCCTAAGACATTTTCAATTTTATTTATAACGGTATACAGGGTGGGCCAAAACTGTGTTACGGTTTTCTTCAGAAATTCAAATGGATATCAGGAAATTTTCACTGAATATAGAAACTATATATTTCTTTATCGGCAATAAGCGAAAATGTAACTTATTTTTTGTAATTGGGGAATATGTATCTACATATTTCTTTAACCACGTCTATCTTAAAATGTTACTTGCTTCTCTGAAAACTGTCTTAAACTAACTGAACTCTCAAATTTTTTTTAATAAACCGTAACACCTTCCAAAGGCTTTATATTGCATTTATTGGACTTGTATATTAAGTTAATATATATATCACATTGTATTTTTCAAAAGACGAAGACTATTTTTGGTTATTACATATAATAGAATACTCCTATGATCGACTCTTAATTCGTTACTAATTTATTAATTATTCCTTGTACCTACACCCACTACTTACCGAGATATTCGTCATTTTAAAAGCAATAATATTAAGAATTTTTATAGATAGATATGATTTATTAATTTTTATATTCAAATATTCTAAACAAATAAACAAAATCAATCGGTACGCTCTGTTTTAAAATAAAGCAAAATGAACTAACAGGAATTTTCCGAAATAATAATTCCATGAAGTCAAGGCCTGGCTTGCCAACCCCCCTTTTAGATAGGGCCTTACATATAGATTTAATCTATGATGTAAACGCAATATTTCAATAATTATACACTAGCCATTTTTTAAAATATTTAATATTTATCAGTAATCTTAACGCTTATGACTTATTTGACCTTTGTACTTGTGTTTGACACGTAGGTAATCTGTACAAAATGACCTTCACCATTATTACAAGAACTGCCAGCACCATTCTTTTGTGTCTTGGGTTTAATGTGTTATTTACACGTACTTATTTAACATTTATTTGCATGTGCATTATTTACAAAAATTAGTGATTAGTTAATAATCCGCTGTTACCAATAACATGAACATGATGCAGAAAAAAGAGAAGATGTCGGAAAAAGTAAAGATACTGAAAGAGAATAAGAAGAGAGGGTGCTCAATGAAAGATAGCTGATTTATTAAAGTAACGTTTATTTTTTTTTGTAAAAAAACATCAATTATAATAGTTGTTTGTACCGCTTAAAAAAAATCATTATATACGTAATTGAAACTATTATAGCAGACGTGTGCAGAATCTCGTACCAAAATAACGTGTTAGAACTTGAATATGTACGTATTAAAATAAAAAAAAAGTATGTATATACTTGTTATACTTCTTTTTACATAGCCGTTCTGTAAGTACGTAATAATTATGTACTTTTTTATACAAGCAGTGTTTACAGTTGATGGCTGATAGATGCCGATAGAAGTTACACGCTGCGCGCGCAATTTACGTCGCATGCTGCGCGGGCAACTTCCGTTGCATGCTAAAACCTCGCTCTCAATATGCCAAAAGAAGTATAACTCGAAAAAGTTAAAGTAAATCTCCCTAGATTCAAAGTCATATTACAAGTTCTGCTTTTCGCACGACATTCTGCCAAATCCTCACACATTTTCATTTCGAAACCTCAACAATTACGTACTTTTTTTTTGTTACTATCTAATTGTTGAGTTCGTTCTCCCAAACAGGATACATATATTGACACAATTCACGTTGTTTTTAATGTTCAACAACATTATTATTAACATAATTAGAGTTTATTATGGCGTTCATTAATTAAATGATAATTCTACGTATAATTTGGTATCACTGCTCGAATGTTCTTACGGATGATAGAAAGACGTAAATTATTATTACGATGTGAATATGTGTGTATAATGTATATGACTTTTTTGTTGTGTCTCTTTTAATTTCCTGCGGGTTCCGGGGTTCCACGTGGGACTTGCGGCCTGGGCTTGAGGGGTGCCTTAGCGGCTGGTTTCGACGAACCACCGCCGCTACTGCTGCTTGAAAGACCGGCTAAAAGTTCACTCTTCCTAATGCTCTTCAAGTCCAAGTCACCGTAGTAGTCTTCACTGTAGATTGTGATGGATGTGTTAAGTTACGAGTAGAACATGAGTTTGATATGCATGGGTGAGTTAAGATTTTAAAGTATAGTGGCCAAAAAAAAGACTTCGTTGCACAGATGTTATAGTAATTTTACCAGTTTTATCAGGGCAAAAGTAACCAGTTAGAACTTGTAACGTATATATTAAGTTATTTTTGAAACAAGTAGCATAGAAGTCTTTTTTTTATTTTATTTTTTGAGGTTTTTGTCGGAAATAATAAGATGATTTAAGTCTGCGGCTATTCAACGTAATTTTGCAAAACAATTAACTGTATAAAAAAATTAATTAGGAAATTAAAATTTGAATCATCCCTTGGAAGTGTGAAAATTTTGATTTGATTGAGTTTTATTACAATATTTGATCAATTTTATAAATTAATTGTGCTCTCACATTGATACTTCCAAATGCTCGATCTTTAACTTTGAAAAAGATTTACACGAAATGCGAAACATTTCATCCAAACTTTGGTTGAGCTGATAAATATTTTATCATTGAAAAAAGTTTCGATCTCTATTTGTACTAGTGATTATGAGAAAAAATAACATCGATGATATTGATGTTTAATTTTATAATTATACTTTTTTTGTTGCACCCTTACAAGGAGGAAAGAAAGTTGTGCTGAGCAAGTACAAGGGTGTGCGTTAAGTTTTTTATGCAAACCTGTCACACTTTAAGGGTATGTTCAGAATTTGTGTACAAATAAGGAAGATTACGTTAATATATAAGCATGTTGCAAAAGGAAATTTAAAATATTTCAAAAATGAAACTAAAAAAATTGAAAAATTTACCGACGAATCTCGAATTACTTTTGACCATTCTGAACATAACCTAAACTTAAGTGCTGAAAGCGCGAAGACAAAAAGAATAAGTAACATTAAAATGGATGATTTTTGCACATGCGGTTATCATCATACATACATATAGGTAGCATTACGAAGTCCTAATGCCATAAAAGCGTATTTTATATTAGACGTTTAAAATTAAATATTTAAGTTATTATTGTTTGATCGATTCAGTTTACATAAATATTGCTACTCCGTAGTTCAGTTCAGGAGCAAATAAATTGGACGATGGTCTGACGGAACCGTCTACGGTGTGCTGATGATATCTAAAGAGATCGAAAACGCGATCTACGTCTGACGGTTCCCACAGATCACCGACAAAGAACTTTCGTTGTAATACAAATGAAAATTTTTGCTTACCATCCGGGTACATCTTCGGGATCTTCGCAGTTTCCGGTACCGTCGGCGTCTCCAATTTTGAAAACGGTACCAATTGGACAACCGTATTCTCTTGCTTGACCTTCCAAGCAAATGTAATATTTACGGCAATCGTCGGGGTGAGCGTGTCGAGAAAAGCTACCAACATTGCTCACTGCGCCTGCGCCAGGGCAGTTGAAACCCCCTGCAACTTCTAAAATTAGCGAAATAAATGCTTAATTAGTATTAGTACATTAGTAAATCTGCGGGGAAAAAACGTTTTATTAGTTAAGCATTAAGTGTTTTACTTTGTCGCGCTCCACAACAACTAAATTGAAAATAAGGTATGTGCAAGTGTAAGCTAAGTGTGCAAAAGCGTATGTAGGGTCCAAGAATACAAGAGATAGGAGTGAAAACCACAAATGGGACCCGTAATGTAGGGTTCGAGCCTAAAAGAGCGCCACCAAACTTGTTGGTTAGGACGCTTCTTAGACTTATTCGCTTCGGGTCAAAGTTTTGTTCCTTTCTCTAGTTTGCCTGGTAGCAGTATATGTCGACTGGTTCAAAACACAAAAAAGGCGATTTTTATTTTTATTTTTTATCTCAAATGTACGGCGCTATACGCGTGCGAAACATGGACGATGGACGCGGCGGAAAAAAGGATTAGAAGCGTTTGGATAGAGAAGGTTAAAAATTAAGAGATATTAGAAAGAATAGGAGAATAAAGGACTCTATGGAAGTCATATTAGAGGCAGAAACAGGAGTTAAGAGGAGTAGAGGTAGACCAAGATTAGATTACTGTTCGCAAATAGTCAAGGATGTGTGTTGTTCTAGTTTTAGGGAAATGCGAAGATTAACTCAGGATAGGAAAGAGTGAAGGTGCGTGTCCAACCAGTCTTAGGACTGATTACCTTATGATGATTATCTCAAATGTTGTAGGAAGAAAAAATAAGACGCCTGCTGTAGTTTGAGACCTTAATAATTATTTTAATACGAAAAAATGCAATATTTTGTAATAAGTCTAGTAGCTTCGCTATTAATTGTCGAAAAAAACCTTGAATAATTTTTAAAATAGTTGAGTTATTAAAAATTTATAAGAGAAGCCTTTTCTAGAGCATTAAACGTATGTCGGTCACTTATGATTAATGTTCTGTTATTGAGCTATAAAATTCAAAAGTAATTAAAACAATATTTCTCTTGTTAATTAAAAGGAAATTAGAAAATTGCGTTGAGTGCACTAAATACATTAAATATTAATGACTCAAATTATAATAGCCGCCTTATGTCCTCTTTCTACCACTATTAAACGTATGAAGATGAAATTGTTTGAACCAGTCTGATACAGATATTGAGTAAGAGGATTGCCCTGACAATTTGAGAATTTTTTAAAATTTTTCCGATAATTTTCTAATATTTGTGTCCATAATTTCAGTTCATTTGCTTATTTAATTATTATTTTAAACATTTTTTGATATTTTTTTTGTGTGCATTGACTATTTAGTGTTATAAAAAAGTCCATGAAAGGTTTATATAAATCTGTAATTATTCCTGCAATTGAAAGATATTTGAAAATTTTTTGATCTTCCTGAAAAATCAATTGTTGTTTGATGCTCATAAATGTAAACGTTATTTAAAAGTTTTATTATCAATGATTCTTCGTTAATTAATTACACGTAATTTTTGGCGTGCCAGGCCAATCCTGTCTAATACTAGAAGTGTTTTTTGTGTCATGTTTTGATTTGTAATGTATGTTCAATTTTGTGTTTTTTTAAGTTAAATACTGTATCGAAATGTATTCGGTGAAGTTTCAAAGTTATTAGATGTATAAAAAAATAAAAAGTAGACTTCAAACTCAAAACATGAATTACGAGGGTGGATTGATAAGTTTCCGGCCTAACCAAGAGATGACGCCACTAGGCCTACCTTGAGGTGACATTCTATAGTACCATCCTTGGATAGCTTGTAGCTATAGTTTCAGCCCGATCTCCTTGCTAGTGTAGGTTTGACAGCACGCTGAACAAGACGCCTCTGTGGTTTTCGTAAAAATGGAAAAGCAGGAAAATCGT